CGTTCTTCGCCAACTATGGGTTTCATCCTGTCTTCCTCCCGGACTTGGTCCCGGAATGCCCGATTCCAGCGACACAGGATGCACTGACCTTCTTCACCTCCAACAATAGGAAACTACAGGAAGCCATCCGTCAAGCCCAAGAGGACTACAAGAGGGCTTTTAATAGGAAGCGAAGAGGGGATCTGGTGTTGCAGCCCGGAGAGAAGGTTTGGCTGGCTACGTCGAACTTGAGGTTGCTCTGCCCGTCAAAGAAGTTGGGACCTAAATTTATAGGCCCTTTTTGCATCAAACGGATGGTCAATGAGGTGGCCTATGAACTTGTTCTCCCTGAGACACTCAAGATCCACCCTGTCTTCCACGTGTCCCTGTTGAAACCAGTAGTCTCTGATGCCTTCCCAGAACGGGAATCCAGGCCCCCGGAGGCCGTAACGGTTGAAGAGGAAGAAGAATTCGAGGTGGAGGCAATCCTGAAGTGCCGACGAAGGGGGGGCCAGACCCAATTTCTCATCAAAGTGGAAGGGCTACGGCCCTGAGGACAATTCGTGGGAGCCAGCCAATAATGTCCATGCACCTAGGCTTGTCCGGGGGTTTCTTCGTGATCACCCGTGGTGGAGAGATCGGGTGGGCATCCGGAGGTTGCCCGTAGGGGGGGGGCAATGTCAGGGATCTCCTCGATCCCCGCCGCGATGGGCTCGGCGCAGGCGCACTGCTCCACCCAGCGCACGGGCACTAGGTCCGGGCCGGCCGCGGCGTTCGAGTTCGCGCATGCGCAGTAGAAGCCGCCCGCTGGGCACCAATGGCAGCGCAGGGCGGGATATTTAAAGGTCCCTGAGCTGTCATTTCGTTGCCTTCTGGTCTTACCTGCTTCCTGTGTTCCTGTACCTGTGCCTAGTAAGTTATTGACCCGGATTGCCTTTGACCTTGCTGATTTCTCCTGCCCAGACCCTTGCTTGCCTGACCTCTCTCCCTGGATGCCCCTTATTAGATCTGACCTCCTGCTGCTGACCTGGCGTGTGACCCGACGATTCTCTGCCTGCTCCCTTGTACCTTACCGTCCTCTACAATACCGACTCGGCCTGTCTGACTACGCACTTGCTCAGCCATCCATCCATCCCATCGGGGTCACCCGACCTCCTCACATCTGGCTCTCCCTGGTTGGAGCCCCTGGCGAACACCACTACCACTGACAGGTGTGCTCAGTAGAGGCGACCTGGTCTCGGGGTACTACAAGTCCATCCCCACCATCAGGGGCCCTGGTGAACAAGTACCCTGGGGCTTAGACTCCGCGCTCTGGGCACGCCTGACCAGTGGAGTGCTAGTGGTGCCGCTCGGCGGTCCCTCACAGATAGGTTTTCAAAGATTGCCTAAAAGTGGGGCAGAGTAGGCAATAGTTGGATAGATTGGGAAGAGAGTTCAAGAGGATGGGGGAGGCTCTGGAGAAGTCCTGGAGACAAGCATTGGAGAAGGAGACAAGGGAGCTAGAGAGCAGGAGGTCTTGGGAGGAGAGGATGGTTTAAGTGAGAGGGCGGTTTGGGTGATATTTGGTGACAAGATTGGTGATGAAGTTGGAGGCAGAGTTTATAAATGGCTTTACATGTTATTGTTAATGTTTTGAATTTTATTCGTTGGGCAATGGGAAGCCAGTTGAATAATTGGCAGAGAGGAAAGGCCGACATGGAACGGTTGGTAAGGTGGATGAGTCTGGCAGCAGCATACATGATAGACTGAAGAGGGGATAGCCTGTGATTAGGTAGGCCAATGAGGAGGGAGTTAGAATAGTTGAGGTGAGAGGTAACAAGGGAGAGTGAATACGTTTCTTAGTGGTTTTGGTGGTTAAAAAAGGGCGTATGTTGGCGATATCTCCAAGTCTGCAAGATTTGGACAGTGATTGGATTTGGGGCTGAAATGACAGATGGGAGTCCAAGATTACACCTAGTACCCTGGCATGAGTGGGGGGAATGATGGTTGTATTATTGATCTTGATGGAGAAGTCAGGGGAGGGGGCATGAGCTGGAGGGAATATTATGAGCTTAGTTTTAGAAAGATTGAGTTTAAGAAAGTGGAGTGACATCCATGCCGATATGTCACTTAGAAGGTTAGCAATGCAAGAGGAGACTGAAGGGGTGAGGTGTTAAGCAAAGGATTGACCTCATGAAGCTGTGGTTTATGCAGACCTGCTGACATAGAAATGAATAGCAGTCTCAGCCCAACCCCACCAGTTCACACCCCCAGTGCATTTCACACCGCCCCTTGGAGCTTATTCATGGTTAAGCTCGGAGGGGCAGAGCGAAATGCATTAAGGGCATAGCCTGGCAGGAGCCAAGGCTGAGACTGCCATTCATTTCAATACCAGCAGATTTGCATAGATGTGCGGTTTCATGAGGTCCATCTTCTGTTTTATAATATACAGTACTTTATTATGACTCTTAGGAATAATCCTGCCATTTCTTCTTTTCTACACAGAAAAAAAAAGAATCTGAGTCGCCAGCAATATTTTGCTGCAAAATAACACATTCTTTATTTTTCTGTTGTTCAAAGAATGTATAAATCATAATCAGAAAATTACTGTAAAATAACAAGAAACCTTTTTCATGCTTTCATTTCCATATTTATTCCAAATTCTTTTTACACACTGAAAACATTTTCAATATGAAATCAATTATTCACACCTTAATGCTTTTTACACCTAAGGATGCTCTCACAAGAGGAAACAAGCTCATTAAAACTTCATGCTGGATGGCCTGTTTTCATGTTCCTCACTTCTATGACCTTCATTTTGCTGTTGCACTTCGACATGACATGTTTTAGCCATAATATTTTCACCTTCAGTTGGCTGACATTTGTCATACGTTTGCATGTGTTATCAAACTGAATTGGATTAAACAAAACAAATAATGAGACAGGTACTATGTGAAAAAGGTCAAGGATGGTGTAAACATTTTTGTAGCATGATTTATAAAATAAATGTTTATAGCATGTTTAAAAAATGAAATATTTAGATTAATTCAAATAGACAGATGGTAGAGGAGAGCTTGATTAACCACTTCATGGGCACCAGGTTTATCTTCTCTTCCTGCCGTTGACAGAGGAATTTTCAGGTTTTACACAAGTGGCAGGTTTTCTATTGCTTTTAGCCTACCTAATGGAATTTGGTTTTGGGTCAGATATATGGACTGCACTTCTTACTGGGCTGATGATAAGCTACAATTCTTCTTTTACAAGGAACTTGTAAGCATAGAAGTATGGGGCTTGTCATTGATAGCTATTTATCATGATGGCCTCTTTTGTAGATATAGGCAGGGGCAGACTGACCATTTGGGACTCGGGCACTGCCTGAGGACCCGGGGTCAGTAGGGGGCCCTATGAGAAGCCCCTGGTACCTTTCATAGGCTTTTTTGGGTGTGGTTTGAGTGTGGGTGAGGACACAGGGGCCCCATGATCCCATATTGCCCAGGGGCCCCATGAGTTGTCAGTCCGCCCCTGGATATAGGTATGTAAAACATTAAAAATAAGTGCCTATACTGTTTAAAATCCAGTAATATACTGTTTTTCCATGTTCTGAACATGCTCAGTGGGTCTCTATTTTTCAGCACAGTGCCAAAAATGTAGAGACCAATCTGCTGACAGCCTAACGATTTACTGCTGCTCAGGGGCTCTGATCTTCAGCAAAATGGCAGCCTCCAGCAAGAAGAAACAGGAGCAATGCTGGAGGCAATTTACAACACATGATAATTTTGGTGGCATAATTATTAATGTTGAATGTATGTTGCTTGCTAAAGAACATTATTTTTTATTAAGTTCCACTTTAAGCACCTAGTAACCCAGAACAGGTATACATAATGAGAGTCACAGATGGCTGTAGATGGCCACAGATAGCCTAATTTTGTAGATCTGCCAGCCAGCTGATGGAAAAAAAAGGAACAGATTCCCCCATCCACACATTCAAGGTAGATGAAGGAATTATGCCTGATGCGATATTTTATTCTGACAGCAGGATTTGTTTGCATACAGCAGGAGTTCTCAGCAGAATTGGAAGAATCTTGATCCATCTTTGGTCAGCTTATGTTTTTCATGTGAATACCATATGGTATTCATTTATAATTTTGTGTTTATTAGTTAACAATTAGGACTGCTGCAAACGTTTATTTGTTATTATTGATTATATCCATAAGCGCAGTTGCACTTTTTATCATTTCTCACGTTAAGTTTTTCATGCTCAGCTATATGGTTCTTCCAGGTCAATAATTCATTGGATAGGTGGGCTAGGATCAGGATGACACAATCTTTAAAAGTGAAGCTTTGAAGTTGCAGCTACTGTATTTCCACCGTCAGACTTTTGGTTTAAAATAGTAAGTCACACTTCAGGATTTATTTATTATTTATTTATTACAGGTACTTATATAGCGCCGTCAATTTACGCAGCACTTTACATATATATATTGTACATTCACATCAGTCCCTAACCCTCAAGGGATGTACAATCTAAGGTCCCTAACTCAGTCGTACATACACATACTAGGGACAATTTAGACAGGAGCCAATTCACCTACCAGCATGTCTTTGGAGTGTGGGAGGAAACCGGAGTACCCGGAGGAAACCCATGCAGACACAGGGAAAACATGCAAACCCCAAGCAGGTGGTGCAGTGGTTGGGATTCGAACCAGCGACCCTAGTACTGCCAGGCAGAAGTGCTAACCATTTAGCCACTGTGTTGCCCATGAATCTATCATCCCCCCCCCACTATTTTGTGCTCTCCTCAGTTCATATATTAACTAATTGCCGACCGCAGATAGCCGATGACGGCTAAACTGCGGCCGCCAGTTCTGAGTGGACGTCATATGACGTCCTCCTAGAACGCGCTCTCCTGCGTGCCCCAGGGGGCGCGCACCCGGTGATCTCCGTGATCGCTGTGTCCATGTGTGATGTGGTAAAAGGCCAATCATACCGGCCTTTTACCACGTGATCAGCGGTGTCCAATGACACGCTGATCACAGGGAAATGCAAGTGCCGGTTCTCGGCTGCACTTTCCTCACGCTGTCAGATTGTGAGGAAAGTACTGCCGAGAACCGGCAGTTGTCAGAGCGGGGATCGGCACCGATCATCAGGGCACTGATGATCAGTGCCCTGATGATCGGTGCCCAGCAATGCCACCCGCAAGTTCCGCCCACCTGTGCCCAGCAGTGCGCCCACTAGCTCCGCCCACCTGTGCCCAGCAGATCACCCACCTGTGCCCAGCAGTGCACCCACCTGTGCCACTCTGCAGTGTCACACACCTGTGCCCAGAAGTGCCACCTACTGTGCCCAGCAGTGCCACCCACCTGTGCCTACCCACCTGTGCCCACCAGTGCCACCCACCTGTGCCCACCCACCAGTGCTGCCCACCAGTGCCACCCAGCAGTGCTGCCAGTCAGTGCCACCAGTCAGTGCCCAGGGGTTGTGCCAGTCAGTGCCACCAGTCAGTGCCCAGCAGTGATGCCAGTCAGTGCCATCTATCAGTACCCATCATCAGTGTCACCTATCAGTGCCGCCTATCAGTGCTGCATATTAGTGCTGCCTATCCGTGACACCTCATTAGTGCTGTCTATCAGTGCCGCCTATCCGTGCCACCTCATTAGTGCTGCCTATCAGTGCCCTTTAGTGCTGCCTATCAGTGCCCATCAGTGCCGCCTATCAGTGCCCATCAGTGCTGCCTCATCAACGCACATCAGTGAAGGAGAAAAAATACCTGTTTGAAAAATTTTATAATAGAAACAAAGAAACTTTTTTTTTTTTTTCAATTTTTTTGCATTTTTTAATTTATAGCGCAAAAAGTAAAGCGCCCAGTGGCGATTAAATACCACCAAAAGAAATCTCTATTTGTGAGAAAAAAATGATCAAAATTTCATATGGGTACAATGTTGCATGACCGCGCAATTGTCAATCAAAGTGCGGCAGAGCTGAAAGCTGAAAATTGGCCTGGTAAATAAGGGGGTATAAGTGCCTGGTAGGCAAGTGGTTAATCACAAAGACATTGGCTGAAAATTGAGAGGATGAAATAGTTTTCAATTTTGTCTCAGTGCACTTAGATCTGATTGCTGGAAAATTACGGCAAAATGTCCACCAGTCTAGGCCCATGGAACTAGAAAAAGTAAATCACAAGTACATTATTCCATCAAGCAAATGCAAGAACTGTGCAGGAATTGTAATAATGAAGATCTAGACATATTGTATTGCGTGACAGGATGCCAATCTGGAAGCTTTCATTATACACAATATAGGGGTCAACTTCAAACATAGAGCTAGCAGATAGGTATTTCAGATACCAAACTGAATTAAAGTGATTGTAAAGTATCAAATTTTATATTTTTACAAAACAAAAAGGTTTATATTTATCTGCTCTGTGCAATAGAATTGCACAGAGCAGCTCTGAACCTGCTGTTCTCGGGTCCCCAACAAGAGATCCGTGTTCTGCCTCTTCTCAATATTCCATCATAGGAAGCCACATCCTATTGTGGCAACTTGCATGCTCAATCCCAAGCCATATGATATATTTGTTCTTGAGTTAAAGTAAATACAAAGTATGAACAAAACACACAATGATGCTAGGCACTATTGACCTCACAAAGTCCCATGTTTATTTAAAAACAAATAATAACAATTTGACAGCTCATGGCAGTGGGAAGATCCATAGCCAATATTCAGTCCCATTGTGGCTTTAGAATCTGTCCATTGTAGAGCTTTGTCAATCAAAAGTAAAGTAAAACCTTCCAGCAACAGCTAAATGGGGTTTGGTATATAACACTGGGGAGCTGTTATATGGCAGCTTCCCAGTACCGGCATGGCTGGCTCTGAGTATTGGCACACCTCTGTACAGCTGCTCAGAGTTGGTCTTAATTACTGTCAGTTTACAAATCTTGGAATTGACAATAATTTTTTAAGAAGTTGTTGCTGCCATTGCATCAGATTCTTAAAGTGGTGGTAGTAAGAATCTGAGGTGTCAGCAAATGTTTGCCTGAATCAGGTGCAGGTAGTTCGTAAGGGAACTGCTGCCAGAAAAGTGATGTTTGGGCTGTTATAAATAACCGGGTATGCATTCAACATAATGCACATATGGATTTTTATTAATTTAGGGTAACTGTAGGATATAATTTAATACTGGAAAACAATGTTCATCAACCCATTGTTGTTCAGCCATTTTAGAAGTCATAGCATAGTCATAACATAACAATCAGCTCCTATACAGTATAGATGTTAGTGTGGCAAGAAATGCTTGGATTGGTCCACTAGAGAGATTAGAAAAGTCTGCCCATACACACAGGCACTACAGATGCACACATTCTGCACAAATATTTGCTACTGTTTTTAAAGAACTGGTACTGTTTTTTCTCAAAGCTCTACGTTGTTTTTTTATATTTTTTATATTTGCTCCAGGGCTTTTTTTGTAACTATTAATAAAATTGTATTATAAGTAAAAACCTAATCATGCAATAAAGGCTGGTTCACACTGATGCAGGATTTGCAGCAAATTCTGTGCGTTTCCCGCACTGCATCAGAATCGCACTCTAACCGCTGTGGGTGTCAATGTTAAGTTAACTATACCCCAAAAAATGGTTATTAGAAAGCAGTGTGATTGGCTGAATTGGATCACATGGCTGTTAACACCCACGTGATCTGATTCCAGTGCAGAAAAAAAAGGGTCCTGCACCTTTCCTGCAGGTATGATGTGTGATTTGAGCCATACAGAATGAATGGCTAAAACTGATTTGAACAGGATAGAGGTGCAATTCCTATCTGAATCACATGAGGTTTCTGGCACCGCATCAGTGGGAACCTCTCTTCAATTCTAAAATCGACTGAAATGCTACTTGTAGTCTATTTGTTTTAGGTTGTAAAGTTTATATAGCACATTTTTGTTTTACTTTTGGATAGAGAAGGGTTAGCGACCCTTCTAAGTTTATAATGCTATCTGTGTATCTGCTGGGGAGGTTTACCCTCTTTTTTTTGTTCTGGTGACCAGTGGCACTGGGATTAAGGGGAAATCCAAAATTTTGAGTTGTCACCAGAACAGAAATAGAGGGGACGTCTTCCAATAAGGATATTTCTTGCACTGACAATTATTTGTAAGTGGATTTTCTATTTCTTTCTGTTGACTATATGGGACAGAAAGTGAAGGGAGATCTACCCACTGGGACACAAACAGCAAAAACAAAAAGAAGTACAGATTACAGACAGAAGATACAGAAAGAAATATCTAATCTGCCAGAAATGCACTCAAATCTTGAATCATGTTGAAGGCTGATAACATAGAGCACTCTTGTGGTGTTAGCCATGCCTAGTTGACTTTGCTGAATTACTCAAATTCTTCTCCTATCCTATTTTTATTTAAGGGCTTATTTTATTGTAGCTTGATGGTTTATTTTATTATTGTTATGATATCCAGTGAAACAGAAAGACCACAGCTTGTGCTGACAGTTGTTTAGCTGAAGGTGACTTTATATACAAACAGTCATTCTAAACATGGGGTTGGGGTTCCTTAAGCTTTGGCTGATTGACTTCCTCTTTGAGGGTGCCTGCATTATTCTGGGGGAAATGCCACATAAGAGAGCTAGCAGTGCAAAAACAGGTATTTGTATGTGTTTCCAAGGATGGCATTCAGAAAAGACTGTAAAGGGGGGCAATCTTCTCAATGGCCACCAATTAACTGATTTCAGCAGGGGTTCCTCTAGACCTAAAAAATATTTCAAGAGTTCCTCTGAGGTAGAAAGATTAGTAAAGATTGTAGCAATGTTTTGGCCATAGAGAATGACATGTAAAGGTGACTTCTGTTTCTCTGCCTACTAACTTTTAAAAAAGATCTATAAAAAAGGGGTAATCCAAAGATCTCTTTAATATGGTGGTAAGATTGATAGTACTCTAACAATTCTGGAGTGCTGAGTTCCATTCCTAAAAGAGATACTATTTGCATGATGTTATTACAGCATATTCATATTTATGGGGGTTCCCGTGGGTGTTCTGATGAAGAAAAGAATAGTCTGAACAGAGCTCTGCTGCAATACAGCTCTGCTGTCACTGAATTCAGAATGTATTCAGAAGTGCCCCACTCAGATATTTACACCCCACTGACCTATTTGATCATTTTGAGCTCTTTGACATTGAGGGTAGGATGCTATTAAACTTCACAGCCTTTAATGTATTGCCTGCTGGGCTGCTTGATGAGCATAGAATAAAATGCATTCCTGTGGAAATTTGAAAGAGACGGAGAATGGACAGTCTTACTGGGAAGTGTAGTACACAAATATTACATTACCACCTATCAGAGGTATCCTACAGCTACATAGAATATGAATTACTGCAGATCTAAGATCAGTGATGAGTGGCACACAATAGAATTGTTGCTCTGTCACACCAAAAGATGGAAATAGCTGTCTGCAGTAAAATGACAGGAGAAACATGAAAATATGAAAGGTCTGAAAAGTTGGGGTAACAACACATTTTTATTAGGAGATTATGCACCTCTTTCCCATTTACTATAGTCCAACATTTGCCACTTGCATGACACAAAAACAACATTGAAATGTAATAAAACAATAATGAATACATTTCTATTAAAAGATAAAATCCAGTTATATATGAAAGAAACAAATGCAGCTCTGTATAAATAAATAAGTAGATGTATTTTTGCAACTAGTCTCAGGCTTTGCCCTTGCCTCCCTCCCACCTTGCAAGGTACCCTGCCAATGTCGAAGATATGAGGCCTGGTATGGTTTAGGAAGGGGGGGTACACACTCATTGCTCCCTCTTTCTATTGCCTAAATAAGGATTTGTTTTAAATTTTAATGGAGACCTACTCCTTTCTGAGTTTTTTTTTTTTTAAGGGGACAGTACATGTTTAAAAAATGTTTAATAAATTATGTCCTCCAGAGTAAGTGTTGGTTCACATATAGGCCGATTGGGTGCAGTTTGAACAGCATCCAATCCGATTGATGTGACATAACATTGAATCCTATGGTGCCTGTTCCCATATGTCCAGTGTACTGTGGGTGTGGATTCAGCATGGACTGAAAAAGAGTCATGTTCGATTTCTGAGCAGTGCCTTCAGGTTCAGGTGTGGATTACAGGCTATTGACTTCTATGGGAACCATTTCTAAACCACATATGTGTGAACAGGATAATCCTGACCTAATCCTGTCCTGAACCTGATGTAAACCTGACATGAACCGCTGAACAACTACTGGGTCAATTACCTGTGAAACCTGAGCTTCAATACACACCGCACATGTGTGAATCAGCACTAAATCCAACTTCAATCACATCATCCAGACATAGATGTTTGTCAAGCATGAAGACCCGCTGCCCAATGATGTCTCCATGATGACCAATGATGTTTCCACATCACCACAATGACCTGCCCCTTACTTCTGTTGCAAATTTTAGATCCATTTGTAAACAAAGTGGCCAGCGGTTCTGGGTGATATCATTAACTAAATATGATAACGGATTTATTAGAT